TCCTTTAAGGAGATCATCTCCATCTATCTCCACTCCACCATTAGTTTCAGGCCTGGGGGGAAACATCCCTGTTCTCACACTCCTGCTCATGCATATTAAAGTAAATTTCAGCGCTAATGTTTCCTGCCGAGGTCTGAGCGCCAAAGTCTTAAAATAATTGTATCAATAAGATTTTTCTAATTGTCTCTTTCTTTCCGTGTGAGTTTTTAAGAAAATAAACTATTGTTAACGATTTTAAATCCTGCAGCTGGTTGGGCTCAAAAATCTTTACTACATCATTGCCTCTCTGTCAGCTGATTTGCAACTGAGGCCACTTCCTGTAGCCGGTAAGTGATGTAACAGAAGTGGGTTGAGTTTAACCCCCCTCACCACATCACACATGGTCCGCAATAAGGGGTGGATCCTACCCCTCTATCTATAAAGGGAAGGTTAGCATCTAGCCTGCAGTAGGGCGGGTAGTTTTATAATTTTGCATTAATATTGTGATTTAATTTTCCTTTGCACTTTTACCAAAGGGTCCTTTCACTGTTGTATGGAAAAGTACTTAGTTCTATTGCATGAAAATTGCACTGCAGCAAACCCACTTAAACCTTATGCTGGTGAAGATTCTCAGTTATCCAGGCCATAGTCCAAAAAAGTTAAAAAGCACAAAAAAACCCCAATCATTTAAACCTTACTACTGCCACCTAAAGGGCTGGAGTCAGAGAGTCAATATGTTACCCTTGATAAATGCAAAGTGACCTAAACTGAGCACCTCTGTGGTTTGAAAATTGTTTTGCAAATGCAAGTAACTGTCCAGCTTTGGTAGATTCCTCTCCTTTAATCCCGCTTTTAATTTAGTCGATCCTAAAAAAAAAATTTTGAGGGGATCACAATGCAATAAAATGGTTTAATTACACAATTTATATAATTATCCGTATCTCTGTAAACATTAAAACAGTTTATCGTTGTTAGGGTGTAGTAATTAACCTTCAGAGGCAAATAAAGAAAAAAAAAATTGTACTTTTTAACACTTAAAAAAACATCTCAAGAATTAAAGGACTAATTTCTCACCAAAAACTAATTCATGCCTTCATCTTCAGTAGAATTGATTAGTAGTAGTTTCTTCACAGGTCTCCATAAACAGTGGATCAGACAGCTGCATCTGATTCAGAATGCTGCTGCCTGCATCCTCACTAAAACTAAGAAAGTGGAGCACATCATCCCAGTTTCCAGTCTAACTTTTGTTCCATTTTCTTAATCATTTAATTTTTTTTTTATCTTCCTCCTATTCTAATGCCTCACTTTAATTCTCTAACTTTTTGTGTTGCCTTTATGCCACTGCAGTGCATGCTTCTTTTTCATTTGTTTTCCATGTGCAGAACTTTGACTTGTCTTGCTACTGACATGTGCTACAGAAATAAACTAGCTTGGCCTTAACTCTGAAACTTTGAAGGAGTCAGCCAACAGACACAAAAATCCAGAATAGAGAGCAAAACACAGACATCAGGTAATAAGTTGAGGTTCTAATAACCCAGTTGAGCAGACAGGTGTGAAATAAAAGTGGAAACGGTGAGTAGAAACTCGTAACCTCAGTGTAAAGAAACATCCTTTGATGCAAATGAATCTGCAAAACCTAAAATAGCATTCACATGAACAACTGTAAAATGTTACACCTTCAAAATGCCCGAACCATGATGCAGACATCTGCTTTTCTCTCATTAAACAACAAGAAATGTTTTAAGCTCAATGCTTTCCCGTCATGTCTGCTGTGCAGTGTTTGCAAAAATCAAATGTAGCAGAGTTTGTTTATTTGTTTTTGGATTTTTCTTCACTGTAACCCATTTTAAAGGCGTTGCATTCCTAACAGCTTTCACTTTGTGGTATGCAGCACATCTGGATGTTGCAGTTGGGAAATGGAGTTTTGGCTCAGAGCAATGAGTGGAATAGGTTTAATGCTGCAGCCTTTCGCCTTCACTCAGTTACCAAACTGAGTGTTGCATAACGTGAATTAGGTTCGTGTCGATAACACATGTGCCACAGATGAGAGCTTTTAGCAAGTTCCAGCTGCATGAAAATGCAGAACTACGGCGAGCATTGGGTCGTTCTGCAAGTGGTACAGGACAGAGGGGGGAGAGCTGCATGTTAAAACATTAAAACAACTTAAAGTCATTTTTCTCTTATATGAGAAACAATTTGGCAACATAAAAAAGCCTGTTTCCCTAAATGTAGTAAAAAAAAAAAAAAA